GTTGGCTAATTGATTCATTGAACCTATAAATTGATTCATTGAACCTATAAATCGAAGTAATATAAATTCATTCATTGATTCATTGAACCAATAGATTGAAGTAATATAAATTGATTCATTGAACCTATAAATCGAAGTAATATAAATTCATTCATTGATTCATTGAACCAATAGATTGAAGTAATATAAATTGATTCATTGAACCTATAAATCGAAGTAATATAAATTCATTCATTGATTCATTGAACCAATAGATTGAAGTAATATAAATTGATTCATTGAACCTATAAATCGAAGTAATATAAATTCATTCATTGATTCATTGAACCAATAGATTGAAGTAATATAAATTGATTCATTGAACCTATAAATCGAAGTAATATAAATTCATTCATTGATTCATTGAACCAATAGATTGAAGTAATATAAATTGATTCATTGAACCTATAAATCGAAGTAATATAAATTCATTCATTGATTCATTGAACCAATAGATTGAAGTAATATAAATTGATTCATTGAACCTATAAATCGAAGTAATATAAATTCATTCATTGATTCATTGAACCAATAGATTGAAGTAATATAAATTGATTCATTGAACCTATAAATCGAAGTAATATAAATTCATTCATTGATTCATTGAACCAATAGATTGAAGTAATATAAATTGATTCATTGAACCTATAAATCGAAGTAATATAAATTCATTCATTGATTCATTGAACCAATAGATTGAAGTAATATAAATTGATTCATTGAACCTATAAATCGAAGTAATATAAATTCATTCATTGATTCATTGAACCAATAGATTGAAGTAATATAAATTGATTCATTGAACCTATAAATCGAAGTAATATAAATTCATTCATTGATTCATTGAACCAATAGATTGAAGTAATATAAATTGATTCATTGAACCTATAAATCGAAGTAATATAAATTCATTCATTGATTCATTGAACCAATAGATTGAAGTAATATAAATTGATTCATTGAACCTATAAATCGAAGTAATATAAATTCATTCATTGATTCATTGAACCAATAGATTGAAGTAATATAAATTGATTCATTGAACCTATAAATCGAAGTAATATAAATTCATTCATTGATTCATTGAACCAATAGATTGAAGTAATATAAATTGATTCATTGAACCTATAAATCGAAGTAATATAAATTCATTCATTGATTCATTGAACCAATAGATTGAAGTAATATAAATTGATTCATTGAACCTATAAATCGAAGTAATATAAATTCATTCATTGATTCATTGAACCAATAGATTGAAGTAATATAAATTGATTCATTGAACCTATAAATCGAAGTAATATAAATTCATTCATTGATTCATTGAACCAATAGATTGAAGTAATATAAATTGATTCATTGAACCTATAAATCGAAGTAATATAAATTCATTCATTGATTCATTGAACCAATAGATTGAAGTAATATAAATTGATTCATTGAACCTATAAATCGAAGTAATATAAATTCATTCATTGATTCATTGAACCAATAGATTGAAGTAATATAAATTGATTCATTGAACCTATAAATCGAAGTAATATAAATTCATTCATTGATTCATTGAACCAATAGATTGAAGTAATATAAATTGATTCATTGAACCTATAAATCGAAGTAATATAAATTCATTCATTGATTCATTGAACCAATAGATTGAAGTAATATAAATTGATTCATTGAACCTATAAATCGAAGTAATATAAATTCATTCATTGATTCATTGAACCAATAGATTGAAGTAATATAAATTGATTCATTGAACCTATAAATCGAAGTAATATAAATTCATTCATTGATTCATTGAACCAATAGATTGAAGTAATATAAATTGATTCATTGAACCTATAAATCGAAGTAATATAAATTCATTCATTGATTCATTGAACCAATAGATTGAAGTAATATAAATTGATTCATTGAACCTATAAATCGAAGTAATATAAATTCATTCATTGATTCATTGAACCAATAGATTGAAGTAATATAAATTGATTCATTGAACCTATAAATCGAAGTAATATAAATTCATTCATTGATTCATTGAACCAATAGATTGAAGTAATATAAATTGATTCATTGAACCTATAAATCGAAGTAATATAAATTCATTCATTGATTCATTGAACCAATAGATTGAAGTAATATAAATTGATTCATTGAACCTATAAATCGAAGTAATATAAATTCATTCATTGATTCATTGAACCAATAGATTGAAGTAATATAAATTGATTCATTGAACCTATAAATCGAAGTAATATAAATTCATTCATTGATTCATTGAACCAATAGATTGAAGTAATATAAATTGATTCATTGAACCTATAAATCGAAGTAATATAAATTCATTCATTGATTCATTGAACCAATAGATTGAAGTAATATAAATTGATTCATTGAACCTATAAATCGAAGTAATATAAATTCATTCATTGATTCATTGAACCAATAGATTGAAGTAATATAAATTGATTCATTGAACCTATAAATCGAAGTAATATAAATTCATTCATTGATTCATTGAACCAATAGATTGAAGTAATATAAATTGATTCATTGAACCTATAAATCGAAGTAATATAAATTCATTCATTGATTCATTGAACCAATAGATTGAAGTAATATAAATTGATTCATTGAACCTATAAATCGAAGTAATATAAATTCATTCATTGATTCATTGAACCAATAGATTGAAGTAATATAAATTGATTCATTGAACCTATAAATCGAAGTAATATAAATTCATTCATTGATTCATTGAACCAATAGATTGAAGTAATATAAATTGATTCATTGAACCTATAAATCGAAGTAATATAAATTCATTCATTGATTCATTGAACCAATAGATTGAAGTAATATAAATTGATTCATTGAACCTATAAATCGAAGTAATATAAATTCATTCATTGATTCATTGAACCAATAGATTGAAGTAATATAAATTGATTCATTGAACAAAACAACGTTAGCAGCTTTAAATAAGAATCTGCAACCGCGATCTCCGCTCGAGCTCAACATAGCCCGCTCGAGCGGACTGAACAAAAACTGCATACGAAGAAACAGAGCTGCGCTCGAGCGTAGGAGTTTCCGCTCGAGCGTCAAATCACACCTTCCAGAATCTGTGCTTGCCCTGTCAAACTACTGTGACCTGCTAATCTACGCTCGAGCTCAAGAGTCTCCGCTCGAGCGGACAGTACAAAAACAGAAAAACACAGTTTTGAACCAACATAAGATTTTGTCTCCGGATTTGACAACACAGGGACCTAACACATATTGTATGTTTTTTAAAATTAAAATACATTATTATTTTTTTTGATGGACATTCTTCTTTTATTTGTGTTGGTTTACTTTAGGGTCATGGTCGCGAATCTCAATCTCAACTTTCTTTTGCCATGTGTCATACTAATTATGCCGAGGTAATATTTCATATTGTATGTTTTCTAAAATGAAAATAATTTATTACTATTTTTCATTTCATACTTTATTTTTTTACGTTGGTTTACTTTAGGGTGATGGTCGTGCAACCTATATTTCTCAACCTCAATCCCAATCTCGACCTACATATGATGTGAGTTGTAATTGGTTACATACTTTACATTGAAAATGTAGTATAGATTCAAAAAAAAGTTTAATGCATGTATCACTATTGCAGGGAAATAACACGCCTCAGTCAATGCCGACTGATTCAATGCCTTTACTGTATCCGACTCCGACATCGTTTCAGAAATTGCTTCGAGATACTACTGCAGTCCAACTGTCACAAGCCTCACATAGTCCTGCTGACAGTCGTGTGGATGGACATCCCTGGAAGGCTTGCACTGAACGATGATGTTATTATATTTGTGAATTTGGGTGTATTTTTGTTTTTGATCGGTGGGATTTGGATATTTTTTATGGACAATTTTTTGTATGTATTTGTAATGTTTTGTGGGATTTGTATAATTTTTATGGATATATTTTTTATGTATTTGTAATGTTTGGTGGGATTTGAATTTTTTTATGGACATTTTTTATTACACCCAAGAAGGGGCGAGAGTTTAGTATTAATGTATTCATGTTTGGTGGGGATTTGAATGTTTGCGTACATTTTTTGATTCATAGTTGACTTTGTTTTTCCATTCAATTTTTTGTATTGCTTGGACTGTCCACTTAATTGTGGTAATCTTCATGTTATGGTTTCCATTATAATTGTTCAATCGCCATTCTTCAATTCGAATTTTAAAATTTCCTGTTTTGATTACACCCTGTAATGGAGAAAATACACTTATTCCCTATTTTCATTACACCCTGTAACGGACAGGTTGAACATAATCATAACTATACAAAGTGCACAACATAACCATACAAACTGATTACACAGATTACACAGCTCTGCTGGACAAAATGAACAAAATAACCAAGTGCCATTACATAACCATATAACCATACAAAATTAACAAGTCCAGTTAACCATACAAAGATATAGTTTACCTAACCACATAACCATACAACCTGCCACTAGCTGCCATGGGTCGCAAAAATTACAAAAATATTACATTTTTATAACTAACACGATCCCAATTACAAGCAAGATACACAACCCATAAATACGACTCGAATTTTGATTTATGTCTGTTTCCAACTTAAGCATCTTCGCCCTCATAAATTGCAGTTCTTCGCTTTGAAATCGAAGTTGTTCATTCATAAGTCGAAGTTGTTGTTCGGTGACAGTTGACATATTTTCCATTTGCACTACTCCTTCACGTTGTAACAAGCCCGCGGGGGGACCTCGCTACAGCTCGGACTCGACTTTCGCAGTCACGGTTCTAAATCTGAACCAAAGAGTCCAAATCCGGCAAATCGTTTTAGGAAAACTGATTTTTGAAAGAAGTGCCAAACATGGACTGCTTTGCCAGATACAAATTTGTTTCTGTTTTGTTCCGTCTCCGAAATTTGAATAGTTGCTTTCTTATGACATTTAGGGCAATTTCTGTTGTTGAACGTCAACTGATTTGAGGTACCTCCGTTAACAGTTGAACTTGACATCTGCAAAATTATGCACACAATTCATAGTAAAATTATATACACATTCAACTTCAATCATATCATTCCTACACAATTCATAGGCTGCACTCTCGCGTTTCAGGAATTATTTAATGTAATACCTTTGATAAACACTTGAATGGTATAAATGGACTGATTGTTTTGTTTGGTGATCATACATAATATTGCCAAAGATGGCATATTTGAATTGAATTTTCCCTTTTGCAAAAAAATAAAATTAGTATCAATCTACTAGGGGCCATGTCTACTAGTATAGCCCAAAATTTGCTCGACTCGCATGAAGGGCATGAAGGGAATGCTTTAAATGAGTGAGGATTAGTTGGGATTATACCTAATTAAATATCCAATTATCAAAATAAATAAATAAATATATAATTTTTTGGCCCCATATCAAGTGTAAGTTCTTCACGTCCATAAAGTTTTTTTTTTTATTTCATGATAGTTTGACTAATCTTTTGTTGTTGTTGTGTGAATAAAAATAAATAAAATAAAATTAGTGTTATTATAGTCTAAAAATTAGATTCATTATAAACTTAATGATGTTCTACTTATCTATTAGAATATTTAAAGCAACTCTTTCTCTCATACTACTTTATTTTCTAGTTATCTATTCTGTAATAGAAAGAAATGCGATGGGTGTGTATAATTTCTCTTGGTTGTGTTCTACTCTAAATATGACTAGAAGCATGCCCTTTGAACCAATTTTGAAACACAATTATATCCAAATTGTGTCCTATATTCCCTATTTTGCTTGAATTCCTGTAAAGATTGACCAATTTATCAGTCTCGATCTGCAAATATTGTCTCATGCTAATCAAGTCATTTGAAAGGAGAATTATAATAAGTGTTCAGCAATTCCAAGATTACCCAATTGGTCAATCTTATTCCAAGACTACATGCTAGTCATGGTTACTTATTTAAGGTACAAATTTAATAACTATACACTACAGTTCGGGGCATATATTGATTATTTGCAGGCTATTTAGACTGTACTGATGTTTTTGTGCAGTTGTGTACCACCTCTTAAATAGTTTTGTTGAGATTTAAAAAAAGAGTAACTATATACTTATACACACACACACACGTTTGACTAGATTTTCTTAGCACTTCACAAAGTAATAAATATACGTGGGAGCCATTGTATTTAGATCTAATGATAACATTTTCCTTAAAATAGGTACAATGCCGGTTAATTTTCATTATTTATGGTCATTAATTCACAGACTGGGATTTGAAATTCAAAGATTAATTGGATGAGACATTAAGCTGTTGTATTAGTAGAATGATAATTCTGCGAAATAATTTGTTGTCCTAATCGAGTCATTTGAAAGGAGGATTATAATATTGGTTCAGCTTTTTGCAAATAATTTTCTTGGGGATTTATAAAATAGGTACAGAGCGCGTTAATTTTCATCATTGATGTTCTTCACTCACAGAGTGAGTTATGTAGATAAAATAAATAAATGGAATCACACATGAAGAAACCTTATGAGACATTAAACACATTAAGTTTTATTTTCCTTGCAACAAGGAAAAAAAAAAATTTAAACAAAATACAAGAACCTTATAAAAGAAAAATAAATAAATGGAATCACACATGAAGAAACCTTAACACAAAAATACAACTATAAAGATAGTTCATCTCACTAGAAACCCCCTTCAATCTCTTCCACAAAGATACAATGATAATTCTGCAAAATAATTTGTTGTCCTAAATCCTAATCGAGTCATTTGAAAGGAGGACACAAAATAAATAAATCGAGTCATATAAATAATTTGAGATGGTAAAGGGGACACATGCTATGCTTCTTGAATTTGTAGGTCATTTTATAATATGCATTCAGTGTTCAATCCAGCATCAGTCTTCAAGAACTTCAAGCTTTGTTAAATTGTTATCGAATATTGTTATCGAAAATCGAAAGGGAAAAATCGAAAAGAATGGAAAGGGAGAGAAACGAACCTCGTTCTTCCAGATCGTCCAGATCTTCTCCTCTCCTTCGTGTCGTCCTGTATCGTCGCCTCACTCTTCCAGATCGTCCAGCTCTTCTCCTCTCCTTCGTGTCCTCTGTCTAGGGTTCAAAAATGGAAAGGGGAAAGGTGAATACGAAGAAAAGAAAGGAAAAAAAATATATATATACATACAAAACGGCCTCACCAGCTCTTCTCCTCTCCTTCGTGTCCTCTGTCTAGGGTTCAAAAATGGAAAGGGGAAAGGTGAATACGAAGAAAAGAAAGGAAAAAAAATATATATATACATACAAAACGGCCTCACCAGCTCTTCTCCTCTCCTTCGTGTCCTCTGTCTAGGGTTCAAAAATGGAAAGGGGAAAGGTGAATACGAAGAAAAGAAAGGAAAAAAATATATATATATATATATATATACATATACAAAACGGCCTCACCAGCTCTTCTTCTCCTCTCCTTCGTGTCTCCTTCGTCTCCTCTCCTCTGTCTAGGGTTCAATGGAAAGGGGAAAGGTGAATACGAAGACAAGAAAGGAAAAAAATATATATATATATATACAAAACGGGAGATGGATGTCGTCTGTTTCGAGAAGGGTTTGAGAAGAAGAGTAGGGTCTACTCTGTAGAGTAGAGTCTATGCTAAAAATTAATTTATATTTGGATAAATTACAGATATAAGTTTATTTAAAATACCAATTTTCTTCTCTTAAAATTTTTATATTTCATAATAAATGATTTTTTTAAGTAATAAATTATCAAATTAATTAATAATTTTTGATGATATTATAAATATATTTTAATTAATAAATCAAGTAATTTTATTACTATATAGGAGAATAGTTAAAAAATTTATTTTTTCAATTACTTTTGTTAAATAAAATTTTTTAATAAGTAAATATTTATAATTTTTCAAATTTTAAAAAATAATTCGTATTTTAAATCAATCTCAAAAAATATATTTATAATTTACTCTTTTATTTTATATAAATAATTTTTTGGGTGCTTAGGTCATAAATCCAAATATGAATTTCTTTTGGCCGAAGGCTCAAGTTCAAACACATTTTTTGTGAAAAGACCAAACTACCCCCATATATATATATATATATACATAATATAGCTACAGTAAAGACTCTTATTTTCAAACCCTAATTACAGTCCTTTGTAACTCTTCCCTCTACTCTCTCTCTCATTTTCTCTTTCCCACACTATTCGTCTCGACTCGCTACCCAATTCGATTCCAATTGTTAAAGGCGGTGGCGAAGCAATTTTGTTGTTGCGGTCGTTTCACTATCGTCAGGCTGCCTAGGCCGCGTTGGCTTCTTTGCTGCCTCCTCCTCCTCCTCCTCCTCCTTCTCTCTCTCTCTCTCTCTCTTCGCAGCTCTTCTAAACCTTCACCATTCCTTCCTTCATCGGTTGTTAGGGTTTCAAACTTCACATTCTCAGAGTGATCGAACGCCGTGAAGAAGACTCCACCGACACCAAACCCACCTCTATCGATCTCATCACTACCACTGTCAAGTTCATCTTTACCACCGTCTGGTTCATCTCCGACCACTCGTCCTTCCATTCTTTTCTCAATATCAAGATCTTAGGCTCAAATATGTCAGTGAGGAATCCAAAGTAAGTATCACCTTTCATCACTTTAGTGTATAAAAGTGAACGATATGACTCACAACAATGGCGAGCCCAAATCCCACCGTGCTCATCTTTCTTCGATCAGATCTGTGTGTTTTTTTTTTAACAAATCAGAGGATACTGAGGTCGGATCTAAGGATTTGTGTTTTTTTACAAACATTTTACTTGAGTTCGAATTTAAGTTTGATCTACCTGAATAATGATCTGTGGAGCGGGATCAATTTTTGTACATTTTATAAACATTTTTTTTAAGGCATTAACTGCTGTTGTTGTTGTTGTAGTATATCCATATATATATATATATATATATATCTCATACACACACACACACACCTTCTCTTCTCTTCTTTTCTTTGTTTCTTCTTTCTTTTTTATTATTATTTATTACTGTTTGTTTTGTGTTAGAGCATATGATTGAAGGATGAATACAAACTCTGTGTGTGTGAATGTATGTATCTTTGTATATCTGTTATTGCATTCAAGATTGGATAATATATGTCACGACCTAAACCCACCCCATAGGTTTAGTGTCATAACCGGCTAGTAATCCGTAGATTACCGAAGGCTTCTTAAAAAGAAAACAAATTATTAGGGGCTAGTGAAAGTAAATAATAAATATACAATGTCCATTGAGCTGTGCAGAGTTACATGAGACACAAGAATTTTAAACTTATATATATATGTCACAATCCAAACCTACCCCCATATGTTTAGTATCGTAATCGGCCAGTAATCCGTAGATTACCGAAGGCCTCTTAAATAGAAAACAATTATTAGGGGCTAGCGGAATCAAATAATAAATATACAATATCCATTGAGCTGTGCAGACTTACATGAGACAGAAGAATTTTAAACTTTTATATATATATATATACACATATATATCACATCATCATATATACCGACTAGACAAAAAGGGACTTAGCCCTAAATACAAAATAAACGAAACTTAAACTTTAATCACATGGCTTTGATCATTTGACATATCCGGAACCTCTACGGAAGGCACATAGGTTGGTTGACAAGACAGAGTCCAAACAGAAGTTCTAGGCTTGGTCATGCGCCTAATCACCTACATACATAAATAATATAGTGAGCTAGAGCCCAATGAATAATCTCAATGTAAAGAGGTTAAATAAATGAGATCCATAACTTAAACGAAACAATATAACGTTTTTGACATAATTAAAGCATACTACGGAAACATATAATAACTAATATGGATCATCAAATCTTTCCACAATTCATAGTACCCAATTGCCTTATCAAAACTTGTCGAAATACAACATAGAACGTTCACGGCGGAACGAAACATTCGGAACGCCCTCATTAGACGGCTTTATACAAAACGCCCACATAGGACGACTTCATGCAAAATGTCCACTTGGGATGACTTGGTACAAAACGTCTATATAGGACGCGTTTATGTGAAACGCCCACTTCGGTGACTTTATTCAAAGCGTCTATAACGGGCATATATCATACAGATCGATACAATTGAAATCATGCGAAACGATCAATACAATCGAAATCATGCGAATGATCATAAAAGATCGGCGTCATATATTATATCACAATAAGTCAATAACTTATACTAACCGTACATGATGAGTTGAATACTATGCGGAAGTCATTGGGGATCAAAAGACATTTCCCAAGCTGTTATTATAGTTATCGTTTCAAAAGGAACTCATTCCTTCTTAAACAAATTCCATTTTTGAAAAGCTTATCATATCTTACTCATTCATTCCTAACAAAACCTCATTTTCGATGACATATCGTGTTGTACACGTTTTAGATTTTTGTAATAACCCTCATCACTGCTTACCGATAAAACATTGATTACCGTCAAACTGAACTGATTATGACTGATAATTGAACTGATTAAAGTACTGAATTGACTGATTGAAAACTGGAACCGAATTGACTGAGTATGTATGTTAATTTGTATTCTATCTGTTTGATTGTTTATTTGATCTGTTCATGTTTTATGTTCAAACTGCTAATTGGAGGCCTTATCGGCGGCCGAATCGGGAATTTATTGATGTTTATGATCATCATAATTTATGTGATTTTATGGTATAATTATCTGAAAATTGATTAGGTATGATTAAATTAGATTAAATATTGATGGATTGCAAGTTTTGGACTTAATTACCTTAATGCCACATAAGTGGCCCACTACTTGAATCATCTTTGAGCCTCATTACACTCATACATACACATTTCATCAGCTCATTCCTTAGACTCAACCGACCAAGATAGAGAGTGAGAGAGAATTGAGTGGATCTTGAGTTCATTGGTAGAATTGCTTGAAGAATTGAAGTATAGATTACTAATTTGAGCTTCTAGTCTTGCATTGAAGACCTAAGGTAGAGTAACTGCCCTTTTGTGTATCACATACAAGGTTACCAGCATAGAATTGCGAGGACTTTTAACAAGAAAGTCAAGTTCAGAAATCTCAAGGAATTAGACATGGTGCTCAAAGACAACCGAGCCCCCATCCATGAGCCTAGGGGCAAGTTCAGACCCAATTGGACTGGGCTTCACTAAACCAAT